AAGGGCAATTTAGAAAAGAAAGTTTGAGAAATTTTAACCACTAACAAAGCCATTTATACTTTAGTAGGCGAAATCAAAGGTCATATCAAGTTAAAGAATAAAGAAGAAACAGAATATTTAATTCTTTGAATGAAAGAGGGAGAAGAAAAAATTCATGTTTACCAAGATAAGTTGAAACGTCCCGAGGTTTGAAAAGAAATATTGGATTGCGAATATAATAAACAAGTTGTCTTTTTGAACTTCCAAAAGTTATACAAATTAAAGATCTTAACGGATATTAGATATGAAGGCAAATAATATCATTACATTTTCTCCTTACAAAATTGTTAATTATGTTGGTAGTTAAGGAATAATGATGGTGAATTGCTAACCAAAACATTCTCAAAAGTAAGAAGTAAATCAGTAAGGGTTAGAAGTAAAATTTAGATATAATGACAAAAAGTAAAAAAACTTTAACTGTTTTACCCACTAACCAACTTTTACAGCAAGTTTGGGATTATATTATCAGCCGACCAATTAAAAGAGGAGAATATAAAAAATCTGCCCATGAATGTCTTTATCTTTTATGCTGAAAAGTTGGTTTACGAATATCTGAGGCAGTTAGTTTTGATTTATCTTTAGAACATCAACAAACTGAATATAAAAATCTCTATTTACTAAGAGGCAAAAGAAATAAAGAGAGATGAGTTTACATTAGTCCAGAAATAGTTAAGGAATTAAAGAAAAGAAACTGAAAACCTAATCAGACCAACAGAATAAGTTTCTTTGATTTTTTAGGCAAAGTTAAAGAAGAAATGAATATTGCTGAAAATATCGAATTATCTCCACATACTCTCCGCCGTTGTTTTGCTACTCATCAGGCTATTTCAGGAATGCCTTTACCAGTTTTACAAAAAGTTTTAGGACATAGTAAAGTTTCCACCACTGCTCTTTACATCCGAGATGGAGATTTAGGGAATTTAGTTAAGTTTAGACCGGTTTAAATTTTTTATATTCCAGCTTCATCTTCATCATCTTTGACTTGGGCATTTTCATCAACTTCTATTTCATCTTCTTTTTCAGCTTCATCTTCTAAATTAGCATCAGGTTCTGGATCATCAGGATCAGCTTCAGGAGCAGAAGGTTCCGGATCATCTGGTTCTTCTTCGATTTCTGGTTCTAGACCAGCTGCACCAGGATCTAGAATTGGTTCAGTTGGCTCAAAAATAGCCTCAGGAGGATTAATATCAGGTTCTAAATTAGGTTCGTTAGCCTCAGGGACAAGTCCTCCGCCAGCAGGAGTTCAAGAGGAGGCAGGAGTTCCTCAACCTTCAGGGACATCTCCTGATAAAGTTCTTTTTACTACTTTTCCACCACCGCCTTTTGTTTTAAAAATTCCTTCTTTCGGATCACAAACAATAGTGCAATTGTCAGGAATTTGCATTGTTTGAACACTTCCTCCTACGCTGGATAAAAAATAAACAGTTCCTCCTTTTTCTATTGGAGCCTCAAACGCTTTGCAGTCGCATCCCCAACAAAAAGCATTCCTTTGTCCTGTGATAATGCTACCTCAACTTGCACTAACCGTTCCCCCATTTGTAGTATGTCCTCCAAAATGAGCTCTGATTTGGCGATATAAATTATCATCGTTGCCAGTATGCAATCAGGTTTGATAACTGGCTTGTGCCTTGTTTTTGTCAAAACTAGCCAAAATTTCCTCACCGCCACCTTCTTCTTCCAAAGTATCATTATCTCCAGAAGTTGTAGAACCTAAACTTTGTATTTTACTTCGAGGTAATTCCGTTTTATATCATTTTTCCGGGTCATTTTCTAAGTTAATTAATTGCACACCAGTTTGTAAATTATCTTTAAACCACTGTTTACTCTCTTTGCTTTCAATAAGACTATACATGTTTAAAGTGTGAAAATGAAATTTAACAAACCCTTCTTCTTTAAGATAAGCCCCGAAATCAACCACATTAAAATAAGTATTACTTTCTCCCCCTTTTTTGATAGTTTTGCTAGCTCAATAACGGTTAATTACTTCTTTATCATGTTCTAAAACTATTTTGACCGGAGTATATCCGCTTCTCATAAATTTATGTTGAAATTCATCAATAGTAAATTCTTGACGAGTGCTTTCTCCATAATTCAACAATTTTCCTTTAATTCCTCCTGCTGCTGCCCCTAGTCCGCTGGCTGTGGCTCCTTTGGCTGCTCCGGCCGCTGCTCCAGTAGCAAATGTTGCTGCCTTGGCGGTGCTAAAGGCCGCTCCAACTCCACCAGTTGCTGCTCCGATTGCTGCTCCTGCTGCTACGCTAATAATGGTGTTGAGAAGAACATTGCTTTGTTCCTTTTTTCCTACTTTTATGAAAATACTTTCATGAACTTCTGCAATTGCTTCTCCGTTGGCATAAAAAGTCACAACTGTTCCAGAAGGATTAGAAGTTTCTATGATTTTTAAATCTCTAATTTCATAATCATTTCCTTTTCAAATTTTTTTGTCTCTTCATTGAATAGAGGCTTCGATATGATTAGCACGACAGTGGTGAATTTCTTCTGGATAGTGTTCTTTTAATCAGGATTGCAACTCTTTTGTTTTGCTTCCTTTTTTTGTTCCTCCAGAACTATTAATGTTAACATCAGTTCAAGCTTCAATTTTGTTAATAACTTCTTTGTTCATATCTCCACCATAATTCTTTTCATCAACCTTCTGACTAATTAAAGAGAAAAGATGTTCCGATTTTCCATCTGCCATTCTTTTTATTATTCTTTGAATTTCATCACTAGGTAAATTTCCACTTTTCCATCTTATTATATTTCAATCTCCTAATTTAATTCAAGGAAAACTTGGATTACCACTTCCTTTAACTCCTATGCTATCAAGAAATCATCCACTTGTCCTTCCTCCACTATTTTTATACAAATTTCATTTCAATTCATAATTCGTTACTACAAAAACAGTTTTTTCTCTTACCTCCTCTTGAGTAAAATCGGGGCAAGCACAGACTTCATAGAGAGGCTGCGGAAGATTATGAATTATTCCATTAGCGTTGGCTCGGAGGCAAAAGGAATAATCATTTCAATAATAACTATAATTAGCATGAACTTCCAATCTATCTCACTCTGCTTGTTTATAATCGACTACCTCATATCAAACTCCATTATAATTAAAAAGAAAATCATTAATTCTAATAGTTATATTATCAGGTATCCGATAATTGAAAGTAATTTTTTCTCGAGTAAATCCTTCACCAACAAATTTAATGTCGTGCTTTTCTAATAATTTTTCTCTTCCTTCTCAACTTGAATAATCATCACTTTCAAGTTTTCAAACGAGAGGATTATTTTCTATTCATTTAAGATAAGTATATTTGTAGTTTTTGAAACTAAAATTCCCCAATAATCATTCCATTTGACCTTTCAATTGTAGGTCAATTTCATCATCGATCGCTTCTTTTAACTTCTCAACTATACCTTTTAAAAATTCTTTTTGCGTTTGAGAAATTTCTTGGTATTTTTCTCTCTGTTTTTTGATTAATTCCAGGTAGTGTATAAAAATTTTGGTAAAATCATGTCTTTTTATCCAAATTTTATTATTTCAGATTTTTCCTTTTTCAAAAACTTTTTTATATTTTTCCTCTTCTTTCGGGTTTACAAAGAATATTTGGCTTTTCATTTATTAACTTAATTTTTGTGAAACAAAGTAAAATAAATTATGAATGACTTAACAATTGAGGAATTAAGTAAGAAAGTGAACAGTTTTCTAATTCCTAACTCAATCACCTTAAAATATAGTGGTTGCATCAAAAGGGAAATGAATGATGAAGATTTAAAAGAAATGAGGCAATGTTTAGATCTGTTATGAGAAAAAGTGGGTCGAGATAACAGTAAATTAAATCTTTTAATAAGACGAAATTACGAATGTTTATCTTTTGAAATAAGAGAATATAGAAATTTTGACAGAAACCAGTAAAAAATTAAAAATTTAGGAGGTTAATTGTTTTTTTTTTTTTGATTACTAAGTTAAATTCTTGGACTGCCTGACAATTCGGACAAATTAAATTTCCTACCCCTTTCTTATTTTTGTGATAATTCTCTCTATTTTTTTTTAATATGTATTCTTTTCTCTTTGGTCTTTGATTGTATTCTTTAAAATAAGTGCTTTGACTAACCATTATTAAATAATTTTAATGTTAATGCTTGTAATGAAACTAAATAATTACAATAAAATTAATATATAAGTAAAAATTTAATTAGCAATATGGTATATGGAAGAAAATATGGAAAAAACGAAACAGTAATAAATGAAGAGGGACTTGAACTGGATATTGAAGATGAAACATACGATGAAGAAAACTTGGGGGAGTCGGATGGAAACAAGTGTGAAAAGTGCAAGAAAAAACCTTTTGAATTTGAAGTTTCGTGTAGTAAACTTTGTAATTCTTGTGCTTTAACTTGTAAGTATGAATGTTTGGATTGTGGAGAAAAATTTGTTTTAAAAAACTATGGCACTAATTACGAATCAGCCAAAAAATCCGCTTGAAAGGCTAAGTTAGAACATGAAAAAAAACATTATAATGGTTCTCTTTGTGAAAAATGTTCCACCAATCAAGCAACTATTCAATTTAATAATGGTGGTAATTGATGTAACGAATGCTCTATCAAACATAAAACTTATTGCTGCAAGAAATGCAATGCCAAGTTTCCTTTAAAAAATTATGGAAATTTTTCCACTGATGAATATAAAGAAGTAAACAAAAAGGCTTATAATGCTTTTAATGACCATTGTCAGAAAGAACATCAAAAAACTTCATCATCCTCAGAAAGTATTAAAATACTTAAAAAATATGTAGGAGGGGGTGGAAATATATCAAATAGAGACAGTTTAACTTTAGACCAATGATACGAATTGGAGGAAGCGATCCAAGAAGTTAATAAAGATGGTTGGGATAAGTTGGGGAATTTTCGAGGTTTTTCTTGTCTAATAAGTGAGGTGGAAAATCACATTAAAAGTCTAGGGGGCAAAATATTAGCGGAAAGAGGGGAAAAAGAAAAAGAGGAAGTGTTTAAAATATCTTGTTGCAAATGTTCCCAAAATGTGACTGATAAAAAACACATTACTAGATTTGAAGTTGATAAACAAGATACTTTAACTTATTGTGAAACGTGCTTTGCCAAATTTAGGAGTGATGAATCTGCAATCATTAAATGTTCTGAATGTCAGTTAGAAAAAAAATGAGAGGAAATGTTGACTATAAAAAAAAGCAATGGCGAGAAAGTTAAAATTTGCAAGAGTTGTAAAGGTAAAGGAAGTAATAATAATAATGATGGTGGTAAGAGAGAGAGAGAGAGAGAGAGAGAGAGAGAGCAAAATGACAATCAAGACCAAAATGCTAAAAAATGAGGTTCAGATTTCGGTCAATTAAAACCAGTTCAACGAGAAGGGAGAATAAAAACTTCGAATAGTTGAGATGAAAGGAGAACAAAAAACTATGGTCGGAAAAAAATTTGTCGATATTGCCCTCAAACTTTCGATTATGATAAAAGTTTAGAGTTTTTACCAGCCAAAGAAAAAGTGGAACAAGAATTATCTAATCATGAAATCATTTGTTCTAAAAAGAGCGACCAAAAAAATCAACACAGATTAAAACAAATTGAATGAGAAAAAAGAAGAAAACAAAAAGGTAGTCCTTTTTATAACTGCCGAAAATGTTGAGGTAAAGTTTGTTTAGATAAAAGTATTAAAGATTATGAAAAAACCAAAAAACTAGCCCTCAAAGATTTATCTTTTCACGAAAAGAAAGAATGTGGAAATAATTCAATAACCCCTACAATTCCAATTTGTTTCTCGCCTAATAAAGGTGGTAACAAACATGTTCCTTCGAATTATGTAGATAGCATTAATGAAAATGATTTAGTAATGGAGGAAGATAATGAAACGGAAGTGATTTATCAAGAACAAAATTTAAATAAAGATAAAGAAATCAAAACTTGACCTTGAATTGTTGGTGGAATAGGAATTTTAGCAGTTTTAGGAATAATTATTGCTTTGGTTAAGAAGTCCAAAAAAAGAAAATTAAGAAGTTAGAAAAGTAAAAAGATGATAGCGGAAATTATTTTTGTTTTTCTTGTTGTTTTTCTTGTCCTTGGTCTTTGGTTATTTGTCAAAAAACCAGGACAAGCCGGAGAAGAGGCGATTTTAAGAGTGATTAAGAATTTTGTCAAGCAAAAAGGTTGAAAAAAAGATGAGTATTTGCTTGTTCACAATCTAATTCTTACAAAAAATTGTTGAAGTTGTGAAATTGATATTCTTTTGCTAACTAGGAGATGAATTTATATTATCGAAGTGAAAGATTGAGGATGAAAATGACTAAGCGGTAATATAAATGATAAGTATTTAAAATATTCTCCTGGTGGATCAAGAAAGGGTAAGTTGATGTATTCTCCCTTTTATCAAAATGAAACTCATTGTAGAAGATTCAAGAGTTATTTTTGATTGCCAAGTAATCAAAATATTTTAAGTATTATTTGTTTTTACAACCCTTACTTAGAAATTCGACTTAAAGAAAATGGAAAAAATGTTTTTAAAAATAAGCATTCATGAGTAAAAGGTGGAGAAAATTTCGCTGATTTATTATTCCGTTATGAAGAAAAAAATACTCAATTACCTAATTTTGAGCAGTTAAAGGAGAGAATTAGCAAAGAAATTATTTCTTCTGACAAAGTCAAAAAACATAGGGATTGGGTAAGTTTAAATAAAATAGAAAAAGAGTTAGTTAAAAAAAGAAAGAAAAAACACTAGTTAGATGATAACAATCAACCTCTTATTCTTCCCAAAAGGACGGAAATACTCCCCAAAAGGACAGAAATAAATAATATATATAATATTATTATTTACTAAAACCCCCTAATTTTCAACTAAAAAAACCACCAAAAAATTAAGGCTTAAAAACTCGCTAACCCTCCCATTTACCGAGGGTTATCCTTAAAAAATAGTCGAAAACTGGGAGGGGTAGCATTCCAAAACTGTAAAATATAATTATAGGATGATGGAGTTAGAAAATAAGCGTTAAAATTAATAAATTGTAAAATATAAAATATAATGAAAAGTCCAGTAAATAAATTAAAAGAAAATATCAAAGAAATCAAAAAACAATTAAAAATAGTTTGAAATAATCGAGATAATAATCCCAATTGAAGAATTGATTATGGAAATTTAAAAGATGAACAAAAGAAATTAGAAGAACAATTAAACGGTAAAGAAGTTAGAATTTGAATTGAATGTCAATTATTCAATCATCTAATTTGAACGGAGAAAAAAGGTTGAGGAATTCCCGATTTGCCTCACAAATGAGACAATCCAGCCACCGCAGGAAAAATTGGCAGTGAATTTGACTGAGTTAAATTTGAAAAAGTGGATAAATGTGAAAAATGTGCTAAATTAACTGATCAAGAAATTC